ATACATACATACTTACTTACTTACTTACTTACTTACTTACTTACTTACTTACTTACTTACTTACATACATACATACATACATACACTACAAAAAACTTGACATTTTGTGGTACCAAATTTTCCCACAAAACATGAAAAATTAGCCACAATAACTATTTGTAGCAATTTTGGAATTTGCCACAAGGTTGCCACAGATACCCCGTTACAAAAGGTATTTGTGGCAAATTTAAATTTGCCACAAAAATCATAGTTTTTGTGGCAAATTATGATATGCCACTAATAAAACTTTGCCACAAAAACTCATGTTTAGGGGCATATTTTATTTGCCACAATTTATTATTTGCTACAAAAAATTATATTTAGTAGCAAATTTATGATGCCACAAATTATATTTTGCCACAAAAGTTCATGTCTAGTAGCAAATTTTAATTGCTACCGTTTTGCAAACCTAATACTAGTGAGAATTAAATTATCGCAAATTAAATTTTCTAGAAATAAACAAGGGCATATTACATTTTTCTTAATCATATTAAATTTTTCTTAAATAAACAATTTTATTACAATAAGAATGGAAAGATACAAGGGCATGCTGTGTAATGCCCAAAGCTAGAGTACAATAACTAGCTACATTACAAGCTCAAAAAAAACCTAAGAGCACTTATATTTCCAGGGAGTTCACATTTAAATCGTCCCAAATTACTCCAATGTAAGTAGCAATGTTTAAGAGCAGTCCCAATATGCCCTTCGGCAAACATCTCTCTCCAACATAGCAAAACTGTAGGATAAAAGTTGCTCAAAAGCATGACCTGTATGATTCCTTAGCTAAAACAGAACTTGCCATTAGAAGATATGTCAACAAAACTTCAAGCTAATATGGTAGCCCAAATGCAAGGCCTAGAAGAGGACTAAAGCAAAAACAAGATGTTGTGTATAACTCTTACCGGATATCAACGTCCAAAGACCCACACCGAGATTTGGAACCTAAAACTAACAGCCAAACCCACCTTTAGCCCATAACCACAACCAGATGAGGTTGATAGGGCTGATGGTTCATGTAAATATACCCAAAAACCAAAGTCTTGGCTAAAAATCATTACCATAATGGTGACCAGATTGTGCAAAACCCCATAGCCAAAAACCTTAGCCTCTGAAAGCAATAACCTTGTCCTACCTAGCTGAAAACTAAAGTCCAAAATTGAATGCCAAGAACTAACCTCTAAATCCAGCAGCGTGTATACGAAGACTAAAGCGAAGCAGTAGTAAGACCAACAATTTGTAAACCATGTCCAACAGCTTGTACATTATAACCTTTAATCTGGGAAGCAAAAATATCTTATTTGAAGCTAAAGAGTTAATTTTAAGACACATGTAGGTTTCTGTTCTTAGTTTCTATGCTTAAAATTGCATCTTGGAAAGTTAAATATGTGCAGTACCTAGTAAAACTTAATCAAATGTAGCATACTCTATTCTTAGTTGTAGTATTGAACTTGTTCAAATCGATCCGGTGTAGTAATGTAATGTTCAATTCACACAAATCAAGTGTAATAATGCAATTTGTTGTTTGAACAGAATATTTATGACACATTGTTTTCATAATAATAAGGGAATATTACTCAACAACAAAACACATCCAGCAAGTCTTATGTACAGTTACATGTGGGAAGTTTCAAAACAACTCTTTACAATTCAACATTCCAAATCAGCCCATACTATAAATACTTTCCCCAACCCATTCTTTTAAATAGGATACTCACACCAATCAACCAAGCAATTTGGAACAATGACTAGGGTTGGGATATTGAAATTTAAAAAGAAAGATGAAATTATCTGAAAAATTACTAAGGTTGGGAGTTTAGAAAATTAATTATCTATGGTTGATGGAATTAAAGGTCGGAAATTCATCTAGAATCATCTACACCGACTACTAACAATTTTAGCTACACTGCTATGAGATGCAAAACTAAAACCCAGCCAAGAGTACTGTTAGAACTCATGAAGGATTATTTATTGAATATATGTACTACACACAAAAGTATTTTTGCAATTAAAAAAATTGATAACTTTTATAGTGTAAGCAATATAGTTGAATTTCTTCAATTGTTCATATTTTCATTAACTTAGCCCCTCACCATATGCATTTGCAAAATAGTTCAAATAAAGTTACAAATTTTCACAATATAAGCTATAAAAAAGGGATAAAAGAATTACACGGGGTAATAAAATGTCAACAGGTGCACATGTTTGGCTTTATTAAGGATTGACTTTGCAACTTCTATGAAATACAAACGATTGGGGGACTAAAGATATGTTTTTGTTATATCTTTTTTTATTAAATGTTAATGTAAATGCCCAACACACTTACACTAAAAGATGGCAAGCAGAAAGACATAGTATCTAACATACTTTACATTCTTGTAGAATACTTTAGAAACTCTGAAATAAGTTTAATCAAATAATTAAAACCATGACGCATTTTGGTGCAATTCGAAATGACGCATTTTCAAACCATTTTGGTGCACCTAATTTTGATGCAATCCTGACCCTTAGATCTCACAATCTAAAGCACCAGATTCATTCTTATTTCTTTCATAAGATCCCATTTTCACCAGAACATATATATATATATATATATAGGGGGCGGTTCAAGTGAGAATGCACCTTGGTGAAAGAAATAAGAATAAAATCTAGCCTTTGGATCTGATGCATCGTGCGGCTCAGATTGCATCATGCACTCAGATTTTGAGATAGTGCATTTTCAAAGGATTTTGGTGCATTTCGACATGATACATTTTCAAATCATTTTGGTGCACCTAATTTTGATGCAATCCTGACCCTTAGATCTCACAATCTAAAGCACCAGATTCATTCTTATTTCTTTCATAAGATCACATTCTCACTTGAACCAAAATAGGGGCAGGTTCAAGTGAGAATGCACCTTGGTGAAAGAAATAAGAATAAAATCTAGCCTTTGGATCTGATGCATCGTGCGACTCAGATTGCATCCTGCACTCAGATTTTGAGATAGTGCATTTTCAAAGGTTTTTGGTGCATTTTGACATGATGCATTTTCAAACCATTTTGGTGCACCTAATTTTGATGCAATCCTGACCCTTAGATCTCACAATCTAAAGCACCATATCCATTCTTATTTATTTCATAAGATCGCATTCTCACCTGAACCTATATATATATATATATATATATATATATATATATATATATATATATGACACACACACACATACATTGATTTATTTATTTATTAAAGAAAATTTTTATAATATATTCATATAAAAAATGGAGATATTAATGGTCAAAGTGTCGCATTGGAGACCGTAAAAAGTCAAATGGAAATTTAATTTTAAGATGGAGGGAGTGGTAATATTCTATTTGACATGTTGTCTTTTGTTTCTTGTTCTTTTTTTGTTACTATTTTTGTTTTGTTTTTGTAATAGTTTAGAGGATGGGTGATCAGAACATTGCATTAAAGCTGGTAATAGAAGGGCGGGCTCTTCATGTGGTTAGCGCCTACGTACCACAAGTCAATTCAGAGGAACACCACAAGACGAATGTGATTTGTCATTATTGCAATCAGGGAGGACACATAGCTCCTGTGTGTTTTACTAAACATAGGGATTCGTCACTAGGCACAACTGTTTATAATAATGTGTGTAGACCCAAAAATTTTGGATATCTAAAAATTATTTTTAGATGCATATGAAGGTGTGTTTGAAGACTACATTTTTGTTGTGGATGATCCAAGCGCGAAACCTAATGAATTGCATCAAAGGGGAGTTTGGTTAGTTTTGTCATATTTTTTAACAATTAGAAAAATTTGAAATACGCATAATTTTCTCCTTCATGTCTCTCCTTATTTAACTTTGGTATTTAGGTAGCTTTGTATGTTCTTTTTTATAATGTTAAAAGGGAAAGTGTTTAGGCGATATGCATCTAGTAAGGCGGAATGTTTCTACTTTTTTGTATGTGTTTTGTGACGGGGAGCTATGCCTTGTTTGAGTGGGAATATTTAGGCATATCTTTTTGTGTTGAAATATAGCATGATTTTAGGGGGGATCCTATATGCATATCTCTCATTATTTTTCGATTTCAAAAAGAGAATTGTTAGACCTTGTATGGGAATCATTAATATGTGCATTAATATTTTAGCATGATTTCCAAGTGTAGGTTTTGATGAATGACAAACTACGAGATGTTGTTGACGAGCAATGAAGAAAACCATGTTTTGTTGACAAAGAACTTGTGCTTGAAGTGAAGATTGTGCCAACTGCCAAGGATATACACACAAGCAAATAAGTACTCAAGAGTTAAAAATTGAAGACCCCAAAACATAGTCATTAGGTGAAATCAATATAAAAGCATTGTTAAAATTATCTTGGCTTTTGGATCAACTTAACTCATTTTTCATATGCATAAGATCATGGTTTAAAAACTTGCATCTTGCCCAAAATCACTTTCCAAAATCCGACCAAAACTATGACCATCAATTTTTGGCCATCGATTATCAGTGTTCAATTATCGGCGTTTGGTTATTGGCTCGTCTTTTGATTTTATCCAAATGGGTTTTGACTTTTTATCTTTGATTTTTACTTTTAGGCACATTCAAATGATTTTCACACTTTGATTTTTCAAAAAACCGCATGCGGTTTATGGTTGTTAGTCTTATCACGTGGTAATCCGTTTTTGACTAAATGGTCCATGGGTTTGACCTTTAAGGCTTGTTTTTTGCCTATATACCTTGGTTTATGCTTTATATACCATAAACAAGTGTTTTCAATAATTGATTTTTGGTTTGGGGGACCTTTGTGCTTTTGACCGACTTTTAGCCTTTGGTTTTTTACATTGGCATTCTGACTTTTGCCCAAAAACTGTTAAACACCGATGTTTGCAAGTGATGTTCGATGTTTTGGCCTCCAGACTTACCAAAAACTATTAAACATCGATGTTGCAAAGTGATATTATATGTTCTGGCATAGTTTTTCAACCAGACTTACCTGAAACTTTTAAACATATTACCCAAAAATCATTCACATTTAGAAACCACCATATTTGTCATCATTTGATCCAACATCCGTACATCTTACATTTTTATTTGTACTTCTCCATTATTCTCCTTGCCTCTTCTAAACTATCATCAGCTGATGTTGCATCACCATTTCCAGTTGGTCTTTCATCCTTATTTAATGCCAGAAATGCAAAATACACAACTCCCATCACACCCTATTTGCCACAAGCAAATGCCCAGTATTATTTATATGGCAAAGTTATTTGTTATGCATATAATTCCAAGAAGTATACAAAAAGCAAAAAGTCAGCCATGCAATTGCTTAATTTTTTCCATGGTCTGCCCAAAGATGAAGATGATGAAAATGGGAGAAACTCAGCATTCTCCATCGATATTTTGCGTTATTGCAAGATTATAATTGTACGACTAAGATTAATTGCTTAGCGATAAACATGGCATGTAATAGAGCAACAAGTTACACCAATATTGATATCAAAATATAGGGAGAACTACTTAACTAGGACTAAAACATCCTCCATATATAAAAATAGTACATTCAATATTATTTTTATACCAAAATAGGACATATAATGCCAAAGAGTGTCAATATATAATGTGAAAAAACAATGTGAAATGCCAACATACAATACCAAGTTGTGGCATTGTACAATTTCAATGCTCCTGTTTGGGAGTTAAAACCGTACGATGTCCTAACTCCTATCTTGGTATATGTTTAATGTTTTAATTCTACTTAGATATATTTTTTATGAATATATTAAAAATGGCATGTATAATGATCGTGACATTAAAGTACCTAAACATACCAGTCCAAAGAAGACAGTAGAGAGGAATGACTTCAGTGCAAACAATGCAAGGGTAAGTGCAGCTACTGCAACTGATACACTCGCGATTGGCCTTGGAATAGAATCCTGACAAGCAAACATATAAATAATTTCAGAGCCAAATTCCCGCACAAAAGTGCTACTTATTGTGCAGGACATATTCAATAGACGCATATTTGTTTACCGGCACCATGTTTGTTCCAACTTCAATTCCATGCTTGCCAACATTCCACACTGTTCTCGCAACTATTTGAAAAATTAAGGGAAAACCTTTTTAACACGAAATGTGTTGGGATTTTAAGCGCGTAAGACTCTTAAAATATCAAGAACGTGAAAAATAAATAAACACACTACACAAGAAGAAAATATGAGAGAAAAATTATATCTTCACTATTTCAGAACGATACACAAAAAACTCTCCCTGATTACAAGCGCTAAATACCAGACACTTATAAACAGACTTTTCACACCCTACACCCGGATGTATTTTTCCGAGTAACTAAAACCAGTTACTCCCTACACTCACTCACACAATGTTGGTGATATCTTGTGTAAACCTCTCTCTTTTAACCCTACTCTCTTTCTTAGCCGTGTGTATACTTACTAAGAAGACCATGCATGGCTTTTAAAGCCAAGAGAAGTACTGCTGCAAATGACCACAAACACAAGAGTCCAAAACAAATTTGATTCCCTTCCATCAAAAAAATCCACACGCAACTTAGGATATCATCACATGCGTGTATCTTCCTTTGATTTCTTTCTTTTCTTTTTTTTTTTGTTTCTTTTGATTATTTAATCAAATATCCAAACAAAATGTAAATTAAAGATTCCATTATTAGAACTTGAGATGCAAGGATGTCAAGTTCATTTAACACAAAAGAATCACATGTATATAGTCATACACGTTACGTAAGCTAAGAAAATTAAAAAGAGAGCGATTGGGATTCTTTACTACCAAAGCCCTCTGCTCCTTTATGTGAATATCAACTACTAAAATCCACCAAGTTCGGATCGATGTTACTAGTTATTCAAGTCTTATGTGAGAGTTCAAGAGTGCTTTTGAACACTTCTCCTCGAACAATAAGCAGGTATGTACTTGTTTTTAACTTTTTAGCATATGAGATTTAAGCATATAAGCAATGAGCAGGTAGATATTTGCTTGTGGATTATTGGAAATTGCTTAAAATAAGCAATGAACCAGAAATTTAAGTTTATTAGCCAAAATTATAAGCAGAAATTTATAAGTCTATTAACCAAAATTATACAAACACCCTTAAAATAAACAACAAGAAGAAATTTAAATTCTCTAAAAACACCCCCTTCATATTTCATAGTTCACAGGCGCGATTGAAATTCCCCTACTCGGACATCAATATTTAAGTCTCCAGTAACAGAAACATATACGGGTAACTACTAATGGATTACCAAACATATACATATCTCATGAATTGAACACTTCTTTCTAGAGAAAGTAAGTTAAAAATTGTTACCTTTGATGAAATTGGATTGAGCAGCGAATACTAAAGGTCGGAGATGATTTCTGCGGCTTTTTAGGTTATTGAATGAAAGCGCGATTTGCTGCGTCTTCTTCGGCCGCCAAGAGATAGGGTTAGGGGAAAGAAGGTGAGATTTGCAGAGACTAGGGAGCGCTGGGTAACTGTAAGGTGAAAGATAAACATCCGTGCGGATAGAAGCCATGGAAGCCATTTGCATATGTCCGGCCAGTCCGGGTTCTGGCTTCTATGTCCCAACGTTTGAGAGGTAACTTTTTTTTTCATTCTACTATTTTAATTTATTCTAACTCCATTTTTTTAACTCTTTTTTTTTTTTACTTCCCTTCAATTTTTCTCGTCCTCGTTGTTTCAACTCTTTACTTTTTAAGTGTGGCTTAAATTTTTATATTTTTTGGCACAAAATTGCTGCTTGATACCTTCATTTTTGTGATAAGAACTCACAGGTCCCATTGTTTTCTAAAATTTACTATGAGGTACTTTAAGATATCCAAAAACTTACTACGAGGTGACATTCCGTCCATATTCCGTCAAAACCGAATTTCTTCGTTATCTTCTTCATCTTCTTCTTCTTTCTACTTCATCTTCTTCCTCTTTCTTCGTCTTCCATTCTTCAATCCTTCTTCTTTTTCTTTTTCTTTTTAATTTCTTTTTCTTCTTTTTTTCTTTTTCTTCTTCTTCTTTTCTTTTTTTCTTCTTCTCCTTCTTCCTTCTGACCCAACCCTCTTCCACCCCTCTTTTTGCATCTTTATATGTATTATTATTATTATTAATTATTATTATTATTATTATTATTATTATTATTATTATTATTATTATTATTATTATTATTATTATTATTATTATTATTATTATTATTATTATTATTATTATTATTATTATTATTATTAATTACACACTCCGTTCATATTTTTTTTAATTAAGGGCCTGTTTGGGAATAGCTTTAGAGATTAGCGTTAGCGTTTTGGATAAAATTTTGACGGTGCAGATTACTTTGAAAACGCTAACGCTAAACGCTGCCCGTAGATAGCCTTTTCATAACGCTAACGCTAATCGTTAACGCTATTCCCAAACATGTCTTAACTTTTTTTGGTCAAAGTTCGTAAATTTAGACCTTGATGTGCGAAAAAAATTTATTGTTTTATATTATAATATAAATGTAATATCAATAAAAAAATTTTGAAACATAGTTTTGAAACATTAATTTTTTTAAAATATATTTATGTATGCATATATATAAATATTAATGGTTAAAGTGATACATTTGAACCCGTAAAAGTCAAATCAATAAAAGTTTGCGACAAATGGTGTCCTACTGTTATTGTGAATGCCGCCACCGTTACTCTGTGGTTGCTAGCTGCCGTTTTTGCTTTGTCGTTCGTCGTTGCCTTCTGCACCGGGTTGTCACCGGCCACCGTTGAGAAAATAATACGGAGTAATAATTATTTTTTTGATAATTTCCTCAAAAAATATAACAACAATAAGAATAATAATACTCCCTTCACCGTGGGTGTATATGTCTACTTTTGACTTTTTTCAGTAAAAATTGGTATACTTCAAATTAAAAAAATGATATTAGATATTGATATAAAACTAGTTTTATTAGATTTACTAAATAAAATATTTCAAAATATAATTTTATCTAATTAATATACCATATTTATTTTATTTAATTATAGGTCAAATGTTTAAAACAATTGACTGAAAAAGTCAAAACTGGACAAATACTCGGGTACAGAGGTAGTAATAATAATAATACTTCTCTAAAAATAATAATAAATAATATAAATTCTCTCAAAATAATAATAATAATTTACAAGCGGTCAAAATTTACAAACTTTGACCAAAAAAGTTAACTAAAAAAAGTTATGGACTGAGTGTGTAATTAATTAATTAACTAATTAATAAATAATAATATGTACTCCGTATAAAAGATGAAAAAAAGAGGGGTGGAAGAGGGTTGGGTCAAATCGAAAGAAGAGAATTGAAGGAGAAGAAGAAGAAAAGAAGGGAATAAGGAGAGAAGAAAAGAAAAAAAGAAGCAGAAGAAGACGAAAAAAGAAGAAGAAGAAGGATTGAAGAATGGAAGATGAAGCAAGAGGAAGAAGTAGAAGGAAGAAGAAGATGAAGAAGATAACGGAGAAATATGGCTTTGACGGAAGATGGACGGAATGTCACCCCGTAGTAAGTTCTTGGATATATATTTTAAGGTACCTCATAGTACATTTTAAAAAACAATGGGACCTGTAAGTTCTTATCACAAAATTGAGGGTACCCAGCAGCAATTTTTTGATTTTTTGGTGTCACATTTTATTCATGAGAAAGTTTAATTTGAAATTCGTACACATCACTTTCTCATTTAAAATTCAAGTATTCAAATTTTAAAATTAAAATGCATGAACTGAAATAAAGTGTTAGTTCTCAAATACGGAGTACTACCTAAATAAATTCATTTTGGATTTAAAGCTCTTATCTTTTCTCCTAAATTTTAAAATACTTATTAAGAAAACCCCAAAATAGCAGTAAAACATGGATCATATCTTCAAAGTAAGAGTTCAAACTTAAATTCCCCTAAATAGGAGTAATTAATTAATTATAACTTTTGATTAACCCCTTGCCGCACAAACCAAGTTGGCCGAACAAAGAAGTTGGGCGCACAAATGGAACTCATTAAACACAATTAGTGACAAATAGTATGGTTATTTGATATTTACCCCCTTTTGACATTATGCATTAGCATCTGCGATATATGACATTATATATTGACATATCTTTCATTATACATTACCAGGAATGATATTATACAATGTCAAGATTGTCATTATCTATTTAATTTGTTTAGCATTATGCATTCGCATGTATGACTTTATACATTGGCATGATTATTATTATATGACAAATAGTAGACTCCCAATACTCATTAAACAAAATTAGTGACAAATAGTATGGTTATTTGATATTTACCCCCTTTTGACATTATGCATTAGCATTTGCGATATATGACATTATATATTGACATATCTTTCATTATACATTACCAGGAATGATATTATACAATGTCAAGATTGTCATTATCTATTTAATTTGTTTAGCATTATGCATTCGCATGTATGACTTTATACATTGGCATGATTATTATCCTTTAATATAATATTAGAGAGTTGATAGCCTAAAATGATGACACGTGGCAAGTCAAGGCTCTTAATTTGAAGACACATCAGATGACACGCGTCTTAATATTGGCGATGCTCTCCTTCGTCGAACAACTCCGACCCGAATTAGGGATTCTCTCCCGACTTCTTCTTCCCCGACTGAAAAGGAAATTTCCCAATCTTCATGCTGCGTTTCTTGCAAATCTTCACACTGAAAAGGAAATTCCACGCTGGTCACGGAAGGAAAGAACAACTCCGACCCGAATTAGGGATTCTCTCCCGACTTATTCTTCCCCGACTGAAAAGGAAATTTCCCTAAATCTTCACGCTGCGTTTCTTGCAAATCTTCACGCTGAAAAGGAAACAAATATGATTCCTCGCTGCGTTGGGTCACGGAAGGAGATAAATCACAGGTACTCCGATACGGCTTTCCATTTTCTTGTTCGGTACCCCAATTTTCCCTAATTTTTACCCGAAATTAGGGTTGATTAATACCAATATGCTTTCTTCAATTGAATGAAAAAATTAAAATTGTGATGCATACCTAATTCATATTCGTATACCCTAATTAGAATTGAGAAATCATATACCTAATTTATATTCTATTAATAGATGTATTCTTTCTACCTATAATTCTATATATATACATTCTCCTCAAAGAACAACCCAGAATACCCATTTTCTGAGATTCATATTCCTTTTTGTTTTTTCGTTTATTCCGTGACAATGACCATCCATCCACTATCGAAGATCACTCCAAGCAGTGAATGTTGGAGGATCA